TTTGAAATGAGTGCAGATGTAAATCCATCTGCCCAACCGAATGCAGGAAGGCTGGTAAATACCTATGCCTATTTGTGTTAAACATCAAAATATTGTGGATTGCTTTCTTGTGTAGTAATTATAGTCTTTAAAACATTTTTGTTAGGTTAAGAACAACTTCACCTGTATCAATAGGTACCACTATTTTTCTGTGCTACAATTTATGCTGAACATGGCTTGCAAAACCCCATCCATCATTTTCTTCATGGGAATAAAGGTAGAAATTATGGCGTTGGTAAAAGGTTTGTTCGAATAACACACGCAACATATAAGCACTTGTTGATTTGAAGTACTCATTACTATATCATAGTGTTTTCTCATTGTCAAATTGTGTCCTATCGAGATGCACTTGATCCAAAATATAATATAAGAGATTAAAAATGGGTCACGAATAGGACATTTACAATAACACTAACCAAGTAAATCATTCTTTATACTTATAATAGGGATGCACCGATACCAAGTACCGTACTCGGTACAAGTACAGATACTTTTCCAGCTCCAAGACTAGACTAGAGAAAAATTCAAAAGTTAGGAGGCAGCTGTCATTTGTAAAGGTGGCCATACACTGTACAACCATCGCAAGACCTTAGTCTTGCGATGGTTGTAAAGGGATTAAAAAAACGTACGATCTGCCTATCTTGGACGGGCAGATCGCACTCTCGATCATCGCAAGCCACGCCCCCTGAGGGGACGGGCTTGCGATGACTGTAATGAGGGGCGGGCTTACGCTGACTGCAAACGGGCAGTGTGCGCGTGCGCACACCGGCCCGTTCGGCAGTTGTCGAACTAGCAGGCCACCAACTCGCCGAGAATGGTACGATTCCCGGCGGGTTTTCAAACATGCTGGTTCGATGGCAGTAGAAACGGTTGCACGCCTTCCATACACTGCACGATTCTCGTACGATCGCGGGATTTCCCGCGATTCTCGTACGAGAATCGTGCAGTGTATGGGCACCTTAAGGAGCACACGGAGCTCCTGGGATTTGTACATCTGTTTTAATGTATGATTTTGTTTTTATAAACACAAATAAAAGGGATGCACGATACCATTTTTGCAAGTACAAGTACTAATACTTGCCCAAGTACTCACAGATACAAGCACCGATACATTTTTGCTTATTGTCATGTGACAGTTTTTCCTAAAACAACACAGACTAATGATTTCAGGACAGCGGTGGAGCGCCAGAGCTAGGTCCCAGCTGCAACCCTGGTAGTTCTCATGAAAATGCCAAGTATCGGCACTGGTACTGGAAAAGTATCGATGCATCCCTACCTTTTAAGGAATTAACATGTAGTAGCGATAAATCTTCAATGGCGACATAGTCCTTAAATTGCGTGTGCAGGGAGCCAATTGTTCCATCTCTGTAGCGATTGGTCTCTGCTCTCAGCCATCAATTGCCAGTGATTTTGATAGCACAAGTGAGCTACTAAAAATCAATCCACTTACCTCTAGACTTGCATGTGACAGTACCAATTTCAATCATATGAGGGTAAAGTACACCAGCATAGACAGAAAGATGTCTATGCAAGAGCCATCTACTGGGCAAGAAAATTCATTAGAATCTCTCTGCAGGCAATCAACTACTTGTTGCCCCTGATCTACGGTTTCCAGTTCAAGCAAAGCAAGCATAATGCCAGGAAGCATCTACTTGATTTAAATTTGTTTTATAATCAGTGAGGTGAAGAAACAAATCAAGCTACACGTCTATGTATCTTCTGAGAATTTGTATGAATGCTGTAATTTCTTCTAATCTATAACAACACAAATCACACAGGCTGTTAACTTCTGTCATCATTTCCAATAGCTTGTAGCAGTTACAAAATAATTTTAAGGGAAACTATAGTTTACTTAGATATACAGTATATGATGATATGATGATCATAATGTACATGATCTTCTCAGTGAGTGTTCGTGTGGTAAAAGTTCCCATGTTTAGTTTTTAGGCATAGAGGCCTAAAATAGCAATAGCAGCAAATAAAACAAAAGTCACCAACTTGTACAACTAGATCAATTGGTTGTGGACTGTATATGAATAGTCTTGACGGAGCCCTGATTCTAATCACTGTTAATACAGAGATGACATATGCACTGATCCTGCTGCCCAGTCAGTTGGATAGGGAAACATCCATGTAACAATACTGGAAATATTCTCAGGAGTACTAATCTCTGACTTCTGATCTGAAGACTGTAGGGGAGGAGAGTGAGGAATTTAAGCTGCTGGTATTCCCTTTACCCTCTTTCTCCATTTCTAACTTTCTTCATTTGCACTTCCCCTGCTCTTCCCTTTTTGCTCCTTCTCTGTCCTTTTCCCCCCTCCTCTTTTTTTCCTTTTCTTTGCTTCTTCACGGATTTCTTTTTGAGCTCTCTTTTTTTTCTGTTACTTGTCCAGTTAAAATCTACATATGTAGTTTAAAAAAAGAATTTTAAAAAAAGGATGACAACGGTCAGTTTCTAGCTTTTTGATTACCAGTTTCCGGTTTTATGACCTCATCCTGTAATCCATAGCGATGTTATGTATACGTTGGAGAATTTTGTTTTCACCATTTCATTGTGTTTCTTCTCCATGATATGTACCGGTATTCGGCTTGTTTTTGACTTTGTGACTGTAAGTCTTTATCCTTTATAAATAAAGAAAAAAAAAAATTGAAAGCCAGTGGTCCAAGAGCAGAGACCTGAATCTTGCCAGTCCAGACCCGTTTGTAAAAAGCCAAGGATACATTTGCTGAATCTTCTGGGATTCAGATACTTCTGTCCCTCAGGACCCAGGCTTCAACAACCATGCAATTAAAGCTACAGACCGTGAAGGATGGCAAATCAGTTCTTGAGAAACATCTAGAAGAACCCACAGTGAAGCTCCCAGGAGTCTTATCAGATTGGAGTACCACATCTACATGGGCGAATTTAAACAAAGTTCACTGGAATGTCCTCCATCATTATGCTGCGAAGCAGATGAGATAGGAGTAGCAGGGGGAATGGTGTAGGTCAGGGTGTACTGATCCCATGGAGCCATTGGTTCTGTTAGAATAGCCTTGTACTTGGAGGCAAACCTGTCATGGTGCTATTGACCATGGAGACAAGATTTACATCTGATGCCCCCTACCCGTGACACAGGTTCTGGAAAACCTCTGGGTCTAGGGACCACTCCCCAGGTCCAAAAACAGCCTGCTGAGGAAGTCTGCCTGGCTTGGTGTAAATGGCAGATAAGCTAAAGGGTGATGTTCTGCCCAGTACAGGATCTGCTTTACTTCTTTTGCTATCGAGACTTCTGGTTTTTCCCTGGTGGTTGATGTATGCCACTTCTGTGAGATGGTCCGACCGATTCCAGATCGGATGATCCTCCAGCAGAATGATTCAACGCTACAGAGAGAGCCAAACAATTCAGAACACCAGGATGTCAATCCGCAACCAGGTCCACTGCACCAACAGGGTGACCTGGAGTCCTCCCCAGCCCAACAGGTTGACATTCATCTTGAATCTTCCAGGAGACAAGAAGGAAGGACTTCCCTGATTAAAGAGCTGGATTCCTCAACCACTAAGCCAGAAACAACCTGGTTCTCAGTGTCAAAAAAAATGTATAAGTCCACGGACTAGATTGAATTTTCCCATGATGACAGAGTGTTGCATTATACAGGTCTGAAAAGACACTAGACAAATGAGCCTGCCTTGAAGAAGGCTAGCATCAGGACTCGGATGCAAAAGTGGATGATTCCTGGACTGGAGAGTATGAACCTGGAATAAGAGAGTTTGAAGTTTCTCCTGAGGGAGAAAATCTTGGGCCTTAGTTGTATCTAGGACTTAGACCCAGATACTCCAAGCAATGGATCGGTTTTAGCAATGATTTTTGAAGGTTCATACAAGTGAACAGCTGTAATCTGTGGACAGTCAAGGCCACATTGTCTGACAGGGCTTGCACAGACTGTTCCCTCAATAGAACAAAACGGAAGATACTTGCTGCACTCCTTACCAGGATTCCCATATGGATATACAGACAGGTGCTCGAAATGACTGCGGATGGCGCTGCCTCATCTGGATATTTGAAGAACGTCACCAGCACACCAAATCAATTACTGCATCAAATGCTCATATATAGTCATCTGCTGTCTCTTGGTTGCAAGCGTTTTCGGGGCCACGCAGGGTCCACTGCATCAGCCTCAGAGATGGAGCCTGTGAAGCCAGTGTTCTAGTGAAAGTACACTGGCTTCCTGACAAATCAGGAAGCCGGGCGACGAGTCATGAGAAGCCATCCGGCTTCCCGATTGGTTAGGAAGCCAAGCTGCCTAGCAACAAGTGAAGCCGGCTCCCTAGCCAATCAGGAAGCCAGGCAGGACGTCATGACCTGCCTCCCGGCTTCCTGAATGGCTAGGAAGCCGGCTTCCCTTGTTTCTAGGCAGCGTGGCTTCCAGACCAATCAGGAAGCCGGGACGCGAGTTATGACGTGCCACCCAGCTTCCTGACTGGTTAGGAAGCCAGGCTGCTTAGCAACAAGTGAAGCCGGCTTCAGGAAGCCGGGAGGCGAGTCATAACCCACCACCCGGCTTCCTGATTGGAAAGGAAGCTTGCTCCGTGCTCCCTCGGCACTGCCTGTCAGAGGGAGATCTCCCTCTGACTGGAAGTTCCGGTATCGGAGCATTTACTCATTATCGGCACCAATACTAGTATTAGTGCATCCCTAATATGTTTCCTCATCCCCAAAGACCAATTCTATGTTGTAATTTTTAGCTTACATAGACTTTTTTTTTTCTAGTAAGATTACTAATAATATATTTAAAGATTTTTTCACACTTTCAACATACCCTTTATTTCAAACAAGCACACATATATGGGGCATTAAAGAGCAGGTTTATTAGACATTATGTTTATCTATGTCACAAAAAGGTAAAACAGGTAATGAGAAAAAACATTGTTAAAATTCTTACATTTTGCTACTTTGTAAAACAGGAGGAAAAATTAAGATATCAGTATCATGGAAGAAGCCAGATTTATTCACATTCTGATTTCTCCAAGTTTATTTCGGATGCCCAGCTGCGATTCAACACTATGAAGTGGCAGATTTTAGTCTGCAAAAAAGAGAAAATTGCTGCTTAATACAAGCACAATGTCAGTTTGATTTAAAGTACATTTAGGAACAAATAAAACAAAGCACACTGTAGTAAGAGATATTGAAAGCACTAAATATACTGTAACCATCCCATTCTGTAAAACAAATATACTGCAACCAATACATGCTTCTTGGTCACTGACCTTTTATGCTGACCTACACACACAAGCTAGAATTCAAATTTCCTCACTGGTGCAGGGACAGGGCATCTTTAATAACTTTTCTACAGAAAGCTTTTTATCTGAATGGAGGCATTGTCTACCTATAAAAATATGCTTGGCCAAATAAAAAACGTTTGAATTCTCATGCTAAGCATATAAGATAAATATTCATTACTAGTGCAATACCACACCTTTGCAAGAGAGGGTTCTACATGGAATGCACACGCATTAACATCCGCAGTGGGTTTTCTGCATGCTGTTCGGCCAACTTCCACAAACATGTCATATTTAAGTCCACTCACCAGCTGTAAAAATTAAATTAGAAATGTATGTTAGTTGTAACATCTGTAAACAAAAACCAAGCAAGCGCCTCCTCCTGTGCATTATCATTTATTGTAAACAAATACGAAACAATAAAAACCTACTCACAAAAAGGTGAGGGGCAGGCAGCGTAGGAGTCAATGAATCTACCTGCAAGGTTGTTGGAGGGTGAGATGAGACCGGCAAAGACACGCTGCTTGTTCTGTCATCCAAGCCTCCACTGGCTGAACGCGTTTTTCGGGGCACACCACCCTCTTCATAGCCTATCATCATCCATTTTCCCATGCCCTAAATGCAACTCAGCAGCCAATCATGTGTGAGCTGCTTCGGAATCATCATCATCAGCCTGTGATCAATCATTTTAACTTTGTACAGCCAATCAGAACAGGATATAGCTCCCTCCACTGAAGAGGTAGCTCCCACTGGCCGACAAACGAATCACAGAGAAGCTAGGGGTTTCATTCTAGGACTGGCCTTGATCGTGTAACTGAGAAGCATGTGTTCTCTCTACACTGACAGGCAGAAGGGAGAGGAGACTTCTCCCTGCCAGAATAGTTAGCTAAGCTGCTGTGATCTGTGTCGATAGCAAGCGTTATTTGTAGCGTATTACAACAAAGTAGAATTAAACCTTTTTTTTTTTTTTGCATATATCTATATACAGTAGATATAAGCAAAAACCATTTAAAAAAATTTAAAAAGTTACCAAAACAGGTTATTACTTAACTGCGTCTCCCTCCTGTCTGAAGATCTGATGATTCTCGAGCGGGCGCGAAGGATAATGGGGCGTGCGCATGTGCAGTAGAGATCTTCGGCCGGGAGAAAAGGAGAGACACAGGGGAAGTCAATGCACGCAGCCTGGCAGCATGCACGCACGCACATAGACACCGTGGGACACAGAAGACACAGCAGTCTGTGCTGGGTCAGAGACCGGCAACAACTATGGAGGGATTCCTGAAAACTACTGGAAAGAAGATGATCGGATCAATAGAGATCATTTAAGGTAAATCCTTAAAGCAGCATGGGGGGGAGGGGGGGGGGTGACTTTAATGTCACTTTAAGTACCCTGTGACAAATGCATCTAAAGCTAAAACATTTTCTTTTTTAGTGTGTGTGTTGTTGGCAAGATCCCCTTCACCTCCTGACTCAGACACACAACAGTAAGTGAGAGTAAGGCCCCGTTCACACCAGGGCGTTTCGTTCACGCAAACGCGCTGAATCAAGCGTAAAAGATACACCGGTTGTTTAAAATAGTCCTTGAGCTTCTTTTGTGAGGCTTACCAGCTGGTTTTGCTCGGTAGACTGATCAGCGCATGTTTCTGCTTTTTCATGCTTTTTTTAGCGCTTTTTTGCAGCCGAGACTGCTTTTTATTGGACAACTGAAAACGAGCTGAAGACACACCTTAAAACACTCTTACATATGAACAGGAAAACGACTAAAGCACGCTGAAACGCGCATAAAAACCGTGTAAAATTGTGCTACAAAAACGCTGTTGCCCTGGTGTAAAAGGGCTCTTAATCTCTCTGAAGCAGGGGTAGGCAACCACAGCACTCCAAGTAATTGAATGTGTTAAAAAAAAAGGTTTGGCATAAGAGGGCAATTTAGGATTACAGTTGCCCACTTCTCTTTCTAGGTATGATGCAGATATCGGTTAATCTGACATGTGTAGAGAAGTGAAGGGAGCAACCCGTGCTGCCCAGGCCATGCACCGATGGAAGCGCACCGCCTACCACACCAGAAATGATGCAGCATACTCCCCACTCCGTGAAACCCAGGAATAGAAGGAAATGCTGGTCTACACCACCCTAAGGGTCACATCCTGTTTTGCAACTTTAGCACTAGTCTGAGGAGGAAAAGGTGGGAGAATACATCACAGGTATCTTCCCCGCACACATAGGGGAACAAGAACCTGGGGTTAGAAGGGAATCCTGGGGAAGATATAGAAAAGTATGATCACAGACCTGTGCCACCAGGGAGGCTACTGAGCCATTGGCCATCCAGTCAAAATAAAACAAACATTTTGCTGAGTTTTTGGCAGTAGGAAACAGAACTGAGGTCCAATGGGGTGGGTGAGGTATACAAGTGTCTGCTTGTGTTTCTTGAAGGTTGTCTGGAAGATGATTGGAGGAAAACATTTTTTTATAAATGTACTCATGTATTCACAAGCCTGAAGAGAGTGTTTGCTAATTGCATATGTATTAAAGCTCTATTGCCGACGGGCTGCGTGCAAAGCATTGCGGTGCCATACATTGTGACTGGCATCCCAACGCATTGTATGGCATTGAACAACGCACTGCAGTGCACCACAATGCTGCTTTTGTAAAAAATAGGTTCATGCATGGTAGCAGGGGTGTGGAAATATACAAAAAAAAAAAAACTACGTGCCCAAGGACTAAAGCAGGGGCCCGATCTACTTGTCCCTCACGACAATTTACTTGTCCTGATACAAGTAGATATGAGGGACAAGTAGAGTGGGCCCCTGCTTTAGTCCTTGGGCACATAGTTGTTTTTTTACAAAAAAAAAAAAAAAGTAACTTGGGCGATCGTGTGCGGATGCGTACACCGACCCCATTGATGCCAATCCTCGTAGCAAATCGCTGAAAAAAGGTACATTTACCTTTTTTCGCGACACACACCACACAATATTTTCAACCGCGATTGCGCGCGATTAGGTGGGTGGTATTGCCTAGTGCGACTGGGGTGCCATTAGAAAATAATGTTTCGTGCATGATTGCCGCCCGGTCACGGATCACCCCCTCCGCACACACACACAATGCCCGATCCATGTGTTTGTTTGCATGCAAATGGTGGGGGCAGCGGGGTCGGTTTTAATGTTTATTTACTTTTTTTTTTTTGCTTTGTAAATTTTTTTATTTTTAATCTTCATTTTATTATTTTTCACTGTATTGCCTTTTTATTTATTTACATTTCTAATTATTTGTTACATTTGTATTTATTTTATTATTTTTTCACTTTTGTTGACTATTTTTTTTCCACTTAACTTTATTGCTGTCACACAGGGGAAAACAAGCCAGTGTGATAGCATTTGGAAGTGACGGGTTCTCTTTATTGAACCTGTCACTCCCAACACAGGAGTTCTAGCACAGCACTGTGCTGGCTCTCCTGTGACAGGAAGGCTGCGAGTGCAGCATTCCTGTGTCAGTTCTCTCACGGAGAATGACGTTCTCCGCTCTGCTGCCCACTCTCCATCCTAATCTAATTTGCCGGAGGACCACGAAGACCACGGCGGGGAGGGATCGAGGCAGTGGAGGGTGGTGAGAGAGACAGCTGCTGGGGACATAGGCAGAGGGGCAGCGTCCGGAGAGGGAGGGGGAGTGGAGTGAGTGAGTGAGGAGTAAGAATCAGCTGCTTACAAGTGATCTTGGACGGCTGTAAAGCCACTCAAGATCACTTGTACAAAATGGCTCCCCCTCTACATTTAGCCCTGCTTCTTGCCCAGAGCATAGCTTAATGTAGAAGAAAACTACCCGTTCAGCACTGCATGTCCCGGGCGATAGGCATTCCACACCCCTGATGGTAGCCATACTTTTTGGTGCATTCATTATGCCATAACACAATACTCGTGCCATTCTGAACATTAATGGAACGTTTTAGGGCCTATTCACACTAGCCCATCCTCTATAACAGGGGTCCCCCCAACCTCCGGGAACCTCTGTTAGGAACTGGGCGCACGCTGAACACTCCTTACCACTGTGTCATAAACATCATGCGCCCCTTACTGCTCTGTCGCCCACGCCATGCGCTCCTTAACGCTCTGCCACCCACGCCATGCGCTCCTTACCGCTCTGCCACCCACGCCATGCGCCCCTTACCGCTCTGTCGCCCACGCCATGCGCCCCTTACCGCTCTGTCGCCCACGCCATGCGCCCCTTACCGCTCTGTCGCCCACGCCATGCGCCCCTTACCGCTCTGTCGCCCACGCCATGCGCCCCTTACCGCT